CTTTGATCGCACCATTGTACTGGGTGACAGAGCGAGACTGTCTCAAAACAACCGACCAAAAACTTTTTGTGCCTTATTTATTTATTTATTTTTTCCTGCTAGTGTACCAGTTCTATTGCAACCTTACTCATTAGGTGTTTTCATTTTTAGTGTCTATAAGTTTAGCATTTGAAATAGATAAAATTTCTTTCTTTTCTTTTTTTTTTTTTTTTGAGGCAGAGTCTCTCTCTGTCGCCCAGACTGGAGTGCAGTGGCCTGATTGGCTCACTGCAAGCTCCGCCTCCCGGGTTCACGCCATTCTCCTGCCTTAGCCTCCCAAGTAGCTGGGACTACAGGCGCCCGCCACCACGCCCGGCTAGTTTTTTGTATTTTTAGTTGAGACGGGGTTTCACCACATTAGCCAGGATGGTCTCGATCTCCTGACCTCGTGATCTGCCCGCCTCGGCCTCCCATAGTGCTGGGATTACAGGCGTGAGCCACCGCGCTCTGCCTGAAATAGATAAAATTTCTATAGGTCAGAAAATTGGGGAAGGGCGTATTTGGGTAATTCCGTATACTTGTGTGTACTGAGTCTTCTTCCCAATATAGTTTCTCGGTTTTTCTCCTTTATTTTCTACCTTTTCACAGAACTTTCTGTAAGTCTTATTTCCAACTCCCCAGCGTCTTTCCTGAGACTTGCCCTGCCCCATGGCTCTTGCGGGAAGCCTCTACTCCTCGTCTCGCCCTCTCCAGGAGACACTTTGCATCCTCTGCGCCCTACATCTCTCAGGGTGGGGCCGGGGAGCAGCTTCTTCATCCCAAATGCTGTAGCCACACAATTGCTCTTTCGTCTTGGTGAAACTTTTTCCTTTGAGGCTTATGCTGACCGTCTCTCCCGCTGTACAGCCTTCCTGTGCTCTCCAGTTCTCCCACCGTTTTGGTGATCTCAGGTATCCAAGCCAGAAGCCAGGGTCTCTGTCATCCTTTAATCTCCCTTTTCCTAACCCCTCACATCCAATTACTTCCCAAATCCCATCAAGTCCGCCTAATCTTCCTAATCCACCCACATCTGTCCATCCCACTGCCTCTACTTTAATTCAAGGTCTTATTATTTTGGGCCTATGTTGCTGAAACAGTCTCCTGCCTCCTTTTGCTCATTAAAACCATCTTTATTGACTGCCGATTCTACACCAGGTGCTGGGGAAGCAGTGGTGAGAGCAAGGCAGATGTGATTCTCTCCTTCTCTGATAGGTTTGACGGAAGGGGAGTGAGGAGCACCGAGGGCTATAGGAAAGCGGAGCAGGGACGCCTTGCTTAGCTGGAGGGGTTAGGGAAGCGTCCCAGAGGAAGAAGCATCTAAGAGACCTGAAGGATGACTAGGATTCAGCCAGGAGGAGTCGTTGGGGGAGATGAAGGAAGAATATTCCAGACTTGGAGCCTAGGACATGTGAAAGCCAGTGGGTTGAAAGTGTGGCGAGTTGGCACTTTATGGGACCTGAGAGTCAAAATGGTTTTTTTTTTTTTGAAATGGAGTCTCGGCCGGGCGCGGTGGCTCAAGCCTGTAATCCCAGCACTTTGGGAGGCCGAGACGGGCGGATCACGAGGTCAGGAGATCGAGACCATC